TCTGTGTTTCAGCCACTGAAATTTCTGATTAAATGGATTGCCAAACACAATGAAATCCTCATAGAAAAACTACTGTAGAAAGTATGTTTTAAACTTAGAACAGAGCAGGCAACTCAACCTAGCACACCTATGTTATGTAATGCATTCCCCCTGAACTAGTGCAGGATTTTCAGTTTAGGAAGTAAGGCTAACATTTACTGTAAGTTAGTGGATTTGAGGGTACTGAAAGCCATCTTTTCTATGCATCAGAAGCACTTAAATTAAAATTTGATATGGTTAGATTAAAATAATGTCCACTTAAATCATGATAAAATCTCAGTCCACTTAAAGTAATGAAACTATTCACTACACTCATTTTCAATATGAGCATTGAAGTAACTAACATCTGTGTTTTATATGGGCAAGGAGGACAGAAATCCCACAATTTATGAACTGCGTTTTTTTAACCATTTAATTAATAGGGCAATATCAGTGGGTATTGCCGTGGAACTGTGAATCATTAAGTATCTATAGAAAAGGCTTCGGTTAATTTTTGTGTTGATTACATTCTAGTGAAAAATAATTTTATTTCCTAAATGTTTTAAGGATCAACAGACTTTTTTTAAAAAAGATTCCATATATTGAGTTAATAGCTTTGGTTCCAATTTGACAAGTACTGTATTAGATTGCAATCAAATCTGAAAATTCCTGGTTCATTTGTTGGTTTCCTTAGGATTAGAATATTCACGTATTGAGTTGCATATGGCCTTTCAAGGGATTGTTCTGAGTTTGATTAAGGCCACATCTTCCCTGTCAGGATGATCAACATTGTGGTAGTTGATCTTCCAGAGTTTGATTTAGAGGGTCTAGTAAGGACACACTAAATCGAATGCTGAGGGCACCCCAGTCAACGCTGGTACTCAGTTCATGAGGTGTAAGGGAAGTTGGAGGGAGTGTTAGTTCCCATTGACCACCCGTGGAGATGGTGAAAAGGTCAAATTAAGGTAAGTTGACTCCAGCTACATAATTAACACAGCTGGATTTGCTTATCTTAATTTGACCTTCTTGGTAAGTATAGACAAGGCCTAAGTTGTTCTGTGTTTTGCAGAATATTTAGTCCAGAAAACACCTTCTAAACATGGGGATACCAGATCATTATTACTCAATTATCAAAATGTAATAATATAGTTTCTTTGAGGACAAACTTTAAAAAAATGTGAAAGGTTTTCCTTGATCACTGACACACTTTCTAGTGCAACCTGAAAAACAAGGTATTTCAGGAACTGCATCAAATGCAAGTGTAGACAAGTTTGTAATTCAACAAGAATTGCTTCAGAGATTTTAGATTGTTAAAGTGGGGATTTAATAAGTCTTTAGTTTAATAAGGACATGAAGTCAGTAATAAAACATCTTCAGAAAGACCTCCTAGTTGTACTTTGGAGTATCATGAAAACATTCAAGAAAGGCTGTTAGAGATCTTGAGATGGGGCAATCCTTTTTCATGTTTTGTACAGTGCATCCCACAATGGGCGATAGGCCTCCAGGTGTCATGGAAATATAAATAATAATTTAAAATCTCTAATTTTTTAAGTATCCACCAAAGAAACTCTCACATTTTGAGAAAACGCTTCTTCAGGCAAAGATTGCATCTCTCCAGGTATTCTGAACTTGAAAAAAATAACTTCAAATAACTTGATTCTTCAAAAGTTGCAACTTATATTTCTTCCTCTTCCATTCCTCAATTTCACTCAATTCCAGTCATGGATGCTCTCTGTCCTTTACCTCCTCGTTGTGACGCCACCTCAGTTTTCTCTTCATTTATTTAATCTGCAGAAGGGAAACAGTAATATGCTCCTTTCGGTGCCGGTCTCCTTCCTTCTCCCACAAAGCAACGGATTTGTAAGTGTATGAAGGTAACTTTTTCAATGTGATAATGGATAACAAGAAACCCTCTGTTTCCTAGTCTTTGTGAGGGGTAAGAACAAAAGCCTGTGATGTACAAACTAATCAAAAAAATTAGCAATCTTTGAATGACACATACATAAAAATAGATTTGTTGATTTGTTTCCTGGCAATTTGTTTATGGATACTCAATGGAATATGTCTTAAAACTATTACATCTTCACTGGAAAAGCTTATTAGTCAAAATATTTAATGGTTTCTTTTAATTATATTTTCTTCTAATAAAAATTATAACACTAATTTTATTACCCAGAAGGATCAGTCTGCTTCCCTGAAATTATACAAAAAAAATTGCAAAAGATTAATATGAGCAACACCTGTGCTTCCCTGAAATTATACAAAAAAAATTGCAAAAGAAGATTAATATGAGCAACACCTGTAGAAAATGAATTTTGACAATTTAAGAAACACCTGTGCATATTTGGACATTTTAGTGATTTAATAAGTAAACCAATGTATGGTCTTGGACCAAAAAACACTGCCAACACCTGAAGAAGGAATTTGTTTGGCTCCACAGCTTGCAAGCTGTAACTACAAAGAAACAGAGTAAGCTAATGAATAGGATTCATCATTTCTCAAGTTTCAACTTGACTCCAAATATTTTGTTTATAATAAACTGCTTACATAGTGTAACCTAGTTACTTTAAAATAATGAAATATATTGTTTTCCACACACTGGAACTCAGAACAAAGCCTGTTGATTAGACTTGATTCTGATCTTTATCTTTAGGATGTGAGGCTACATCTGCACTGCAAGCTTCTTGCACATGGAAGCCTTTTGCGCAAGAGTTTTTCCGCAAAAACTTCTTGCTCAAGAGCACGTTCGCACTACAAAAGCGCATCACAAAAGCTTTTGCACAAGAGAGTGTCCAGACTGCATGGACGCTCTCTCGAAAGAAAGCTCTGATTGCTATTCACAGAATAGCCACCAGAGCACCTGTGCTTTTTTCCTTTGGCTCCCTTTGCACAAAACCCCCCTGTTGCCCACCCATGCACACCTTTTTGCTCAAGAACTCTTGTGCAAAAAGGAGTTATTCTTTGTAGAAAGAGGAATACCTACACCACAAAAATCCCTCTCTTCTATCCCCCTTCTGTTCTGAAATTTGATTTGTCCGTTTCATATGTGTTCATGGAAAGAGGAATACCTACACTGCAAAAACTCTTGTTCTTTTGATTTACTGTAAATGTACTTGCGCAAAAACACGCTTGAGGTGTGGACACACCACGGGTTTTTGCGCAAAAACCCTGTAGCCTGACAGGACAAGTTGGAATGAAAGAGTCATTTCTGGAGCACAACAAGAAGGACAAGCTCATGCATCTTATTCTACAAAGTTAAAGTATTTCAATATGACAAATGCTCTTGAAGCTGTTGTTACCTATATAAATGCCAAAATAGAATTAAAGTTCATCTTAATGAAAAATAATAGTTATATTTATGGTTTCATAGAGTTCAGAGGCAATTTTTCTTCAAAATTGAAAATGGAAAAGCCTAAAAAGTGTTCACTTTGCTGTCCTCCCTTACACTTTGATCCCTGCTTACATCTGAGGGAACAAATGGACACTAAATGTTTTCTAATATTGGAAAATAATCTTGTTCTTAAGGATACTAAGGTAAATAGAGAGGAAGAACTGTTTTCTTTGGGGTTCTTAGACTATTTACCTCTTATATTCCATGCAATTTTCATAGTGACACTACTGAGATGGTACCTATGGACTGTCTAGAGATTTTGAAAGCAGTCTTGATGATGGTGTGATAAAGTTTCTTCCCCTCTTAGTACTGATCGGATTTTGGAGTAGACAGGAATCTCTTCTGTGCAATTGTGTCTACCACAGATGTGAACAACTAGTTGACTATCCCATAAGCATTTGCAAACGCTTATCAGTAGACAGGCTAGTCATGCCACCTCCCCCTTTGAGTCATGCTGGGCACAAATCTGGTGTACAACAAACCCTGCGCGTGCATGACACCAAGCACCCGGGGCAGGTGTGCGCTATGCTAGAGACGGTAGCAGTGCACAGCAGGCACAGTTGCCTTACGTGGCACTGACGTGCACTAGCCAGGAGCGCGTCTGTGCAAGGAGTCAGCAGGCACCGACGGGCGGGGCCGATTGGAGCTACCACAAGCAATGCACGTTGCGCGCGCGAGACAAAGACACGCAGAGGCCCTGGCCACCGGGACGTGCGAGCCCAGCCGAGCGGCTCCGGCCCGGGGAGG